TCAGAGGCTGGAGAGGAAATGTTATTTCTCTTTAGGTTTCTCTTTCCCCTCGTCCCCAAGCTAGTATTTGCAGAGTACTTTTTATGTGGCAGGATCCCTGGTATCATAGTTCTTTACATATTGGGCTGCTCTTGTGGCCTAGTGGTAAGAATCTGCTCTACAATTAATTCCGAAGGCACATGGTTCTAATCCACCTGATGCTCCACTGGAGGAGGAGGGACAGTCTCCTCCTGTTCAGTCAGATCCTACTCCACGGTACACAACAAGAAAAAAAAAAGAGCATTGAATTCTGGAGCCATGTAGCCTGGGTCCAAACTCTCCTTTTCCACTACCTTGCTATATAACCTTGAACAAGTTACTTACTTAACATCTCTAGGCCTTAATTACCACAATTGTAAAATGAAAAGAATAGAATTTAATTATGGGGTCATTGTGAAAGTTCAAAAGGAGATACATATAAAAAGTCTGGTATGTTGTTAGCTATATAGTACTCTGATGACCTAGTAGCATTAAGCTGTGCTGCAATTCTGAATGCACGCAGTTTGAGGCCAATAGCTGCTCCACAGGAGATGGATGGGTACTCTCTTCCCATGCAGTTAATTGCCTCTGAAAACCTACTGGAGGGTCAGCTATGGGTCGTTCCAACTTGACAGTTTACAACAACAACAATAGTATTAATATCGTTGGAGCTTAGCTCATTCAGTAAATTTGAACAGAATAAGGGAATAATTCTAGTTGAGACATCAAGCCTAGGATAGAACATCCCTACCAATGTCACAGATGAGCTATAGTTAAGCCAAAGTTTTGCTCTGTGCAGCTTCAAGGCTGCTAAAGTCACACCTAGCTGTTTCTGGCTTCAACTGGCAGCAGCATCTGCAGTATGTGACATACAAATCACCTTCTCACTGAGTGCCCTGGCCTGAAAAACTATTCAAGGAGCACCAGTGTAAAAAATCAACTGGTGAATAGTGAGGATGCAAGTGGACAGTTCAAATTGAGCCCAAGAGAATTCTGTGGCTGAGTGACCAAAAGTATCTCAACCACTGAATCCAGAGCAAGAGGCTTCCTGCAGGCTTCACAGGGATTCCTGCCTTACACATGACAAAGTGGTGAATCACTCAACAACCCATTATGGAGAGCCTGCTGTGCTCTGGAAGGACTACAGGGAGCCAGAAGACTACAGCCCAAAGTCTTAGGTAGACAACAGAAATGTACACTCTTCAGCAGCACATACACTAAAATTATGTAGCTAACAAATATTAAACAGGATAACAGGGCATACCGTGCTAGGAAAAAGTAGTGTCCAGGACTGTAGGAACTTATATACAGCTTTGCCTGAATGATGCACAGGGTTTTAAATCAGAGAAATGTAGTATTTAGGGTTACACTTTTTTTTTCTTTCTTTTTTTTAGGATCACTCTTAACAGCACATTAGACAATTGGAAACCAACAAGAATATGTCTGGGGTCTTCAGTTAGGCAACTCTTGTGATCTTTATTTGGGAGATGAATGGTGAAGTTGTTGTTGTTGTTGTTGTTGTTGTTATGTGCCGTCGAGTCGCCTGCGACTCATAGCAACCCTATGTACAACAGCCCTAA